GGGATGGGTGGGGGGGCGCACACCGAGGACAGAGATGTGGAGGCGATGGGTAAGGGGGCGCACGCTGGAGGACAGAGATGGGGACGCAATGAATGGGGGGTGCGCATACTGGAGGACCCGGTGGAGAGCTGCGCAGACACCCCGCGGGCGAGGGCGCAGCAGGACTGGGCTTGCAGCGCGCGCCTGCGGGTCCCCAGCATGCCCCGTCTCAGCGCCCTGCGAGGACAGAGTGGGGCTCTGAGGACGCCGCCAGGCGGATGCGCGGACCGCGGGTGGCGGGAGGGGCAGCAGCGGGGGAAGGTATCAGCGAGAAAGGTCTGGGAGAGGCGTGGCCCGGGAAAGAAAGGGGTGGTGGGGTCAAGGGCAAGGCTAAGGAAAGGTCCCAGAACAGGGTCGCGGTGCGGGTAGGAGGCGGGTGACTCTGGGGGTGGCCAGGGGTCCCGGAGATAGCGGGTACCGTCAGGAAGAGCCCCGGCGGGGAAGGTCCGGCCAGGGGCTTCCCTGCCCGCGCCCTCCAAGTGCCGCGTCCCCCAGACAGCCGCGCGCCCCACACTGCTGCGTCCTAGGTCCGCCCCAGCGGGACTCCCGGGAGGGGCAGGGCGGGGCTTAGCCGAGGGGCGGGACCCGGGCCGTCAGGGCGGAGCCTCGGTGGGGCGAGGCGCGCCGCGGGGGGGCGGAGCCGGGGGGGGGTCTGGCGGTGCCGGGGCGGGGCCAGGGGCGGGGTGGGGCGCGCCGCGGGGCGGAGCCGGGCAGGAGGGGGAGGGGAGAGGCGTGCGGGGGGAGGGGAGCGGCGTGCGGGGGGAGGGGCGGGAGGCCCAGGGCGCGGGGAAGCCCCGCAAACGCCGCCTATCCCCCCCGCATCCCGAGGTCTCGGAGGGCTCCGGGCGCGGGCCGGGCTGGGCCGGGCCGGGGGGGCGGTGGAGACGGCGCGGACGCGGGGCCGACCCAGGGGCCCCAGCCCGCGCCCTCCGGCCCTTACCTTGGGCTTCTCCTCGGACATGGCTGCGCGCGGCGGCGGGAGGCGGCGGCTGGGAAGCAGGCAGCGCCGGAGCGGGCGAGTCACGCTCTCGGCCCGCGGCTCTCCCGCCGCAACTGCTCGCGGGGCCGCGCTTTGCCCCCCAAATCCCTGCGCGCCGGTTGGCTGCCGTGAGGTCACGTGGCGGGCGCGCGTGCACGAGGCGCGCGCCCTAGGTGGCGGGCGCGCGCTCGACCGGGCCCGAGGTTCCTGGTGGTTGGAAATGCGTCACGGGGCGGGTCCGCGCTTGCGGCGGGCCCGACAGCGGGGGCGCTCAGGGCACCGAGAGGCCCGGAGGTGCGCACGGGAGGGGGGGCGCTCAGGGCCCCAAGGGCCCCCGGGGGCGCTCAGGACAGCGAAGAGGTGGGAGTGGGGGGAATACAGCGTCAGAGGCACTGAGGGCACCAAGGGGCCGGGGGGTGCGAGTAGGAGCAGGGGCCGCTCAGGGACCTGGCGGCAGACGGGGAAGGGGAAGTGGGGGACACTGAGGGGCCCAGGGGCACACAGGGAACAGGGGGTGCTCAGGACATCAGGGGCCCAGGGCGTCGATCAGAGGTGGGGGTCAGGGACAAGGATGCGCAGGTTATCTTCGGGCCCAAGCAGGGCCTGTCCACCTTCCCGCTGCCCTAGTCCGTCGACCTGGTCCCTCACCGGCTTCTGCTCAGCCGGCTGGCCAAGCCCGGGCACACCCGCTCGTCTCTCCGGTGGAGTGCGTTTTTCAGGGGGAAAAAACCGAAGGCCGGTGTGGTGAACCATCTCTGGCGGTCACAGGGGCCCCAGTGAGTGAGTGTTGCCTCAGAAGGCAACCCCACTCCTGGAAAAGGCTCCACTGGCCCTCAGGAGGAGCCTCCTGTCCGGTCAGGAGGAACCGCAGGTGACGGAAGGCGGTCGAGGCTGCCCGCCTGTCAGCTCTGTCGCTAGGGGCGGCTTGCACGTGTTCATTTAGCAAGCCGGCCGGAACTCCAAAGCCTGGGCCCTGCACCAGAGCGCCAGGTGGACGGAGCCCTGTGGAAGGCCTCTCCGCCTGGCCACTTGTCCCTGGGTGGAGCCAGGCTTCCGTCTCAGCTGCCTCCCCTGCCCCCTTGCCAGTCCCGATCAAGGCCTCCTGGGCCTGATGGGTGGAAGCCAAGCGCTGGCCGGGGGCTGGGGGGATGGGTTCAGGAGGCTGTGTTGTGATTGCCTTCCTGGAGTTTCTGAAACGCACGCACACTACACAACAGAAACTAAGCACCTAGAGAATCTGAATAACACTATTAATTACATATTAGGTCTCTCAGAGAACATCATTAAGTTGTAAGAAACCATACAGGGGAGGGTTCTGCCTGGGATGCAGAAAGCTGGAACGAGGGGCGCCTGGGTGGCTCAGTCGCCTTTGGCTCAGGCCATGATCCTGGAGTCCCAGGATCGAGTCCCACATCGGGCTTTCTGCTCGGCAGGGAGTCTGCTTCTCCCTCTGACCCTCCCCCTTCTCATGCTCTCTCTCTCTCTCATTCTCTCTCTCTCAAATAAATAAATAAAAATCTTTAAAAAAAAAAAGTTGGAACAATAATTATCCCAAGAAAACAAGAGAAGCTGGAAAACCTATAAAACCATAGCTTTTCTTAAACCGTCAGAGAGCTGGGATTGCAGCTTTGCCATCCTTAAGTTCCAGCTCCTCTAATCAGTTTGGGAAGATATTTTTCTGGGTCTAGGAATCCGAGCTTGAAGTCTTAGAAGGTGTCCCTTCATTGTCTTCACTCAGAATACATCCTGGCCCTGACCCTCTGGAGGTCTGTCCCTGGAGAGGAAACAGGGTCCCTGTAAAAGTCCACCCAGATCCAAGGACACGAGGCCTGCCTAAAGGTGGGGCTGGACCAGGGCAACAGAGTCCACCTGCCCCTCACCACACACACACACACACACACACACACACCTGTGCCGGGACAGCCAGACCAAGGAATAAATCCTGGCCCTGACCCTCTGGAGGTCTGTCCCTGG